TTTGGTGGCATCATCTTCATTGGAAACTCATTTGATATAATATATACTTGCAATATTTCAAAAGCGGAATGGGTTTTAAGAGCTTTTGCAAGTTTTTTAAATGTTTATTTATTATTATTGGGGATAGATATCGGAAGGTCAATATTTAATTTACATAATTTCAAAACATCTCTTTCTTGATATTATTAATTAAACATATTGACTCATTCTTCAGGAATAACGGTCCCATTATATCTTGAAATTGACTCGACGTTGTACAACTAATTAATTGGTCATGGCCAGTCGCTGAGGTGCGGTAATTTAGTAAATTCATTCAAGTGTACTCGATCTTGAATGATAAATATTATTTATTAAGGGAAATAATAATTATAATGTACCCAGAGATCAATATCATCAGCAGTAAACATTCGCCAAGATATTTAGAAAAGTTTTTTATATTTTTTTCGTGTACTGTTATTTTATGCTCGGCAATATGGAAGAATGGTCCATTATTATACATTAATGAGGAATGGAAAAGGGACTCTTATAAAAGTTTTGTATTAAAATGTTTAGATACTAATGAATTTTTCAGCAAGGTAAGACAATTATTTATAAGTTTAATTTAAATACTTCAAATAAATAAACATTTATGCTTATCAATATATTTAAACTAACATTTATAATTCAGTTATCGTGCCGGTTATCGCTTTACTTTTAGTATCTGGTGTGGAATGGTAGTAAATATGCCATCATTTCTTTAATTTTCCTCCACTCGGATTTTTTTGGAACGGCTTCGCCTTTTAAAGCACTTGGTATCATCTTGATTATTCGCAACAACATGTACACAAGTAAACAAATGTATACACCGTTTTCCCACACATTACGACGAGGATTTGTTTGGATGAATAACTTGGAATCTCTTGGTTTTAGTTACAACTTTATATTATACTAGTTTTCAGTCCTTTAATGATAATGGACATCCTTTTGAATCACAGTAAATTTGATTGGGCGAAAGCAAAGATGAATGAAATATAGGTAAAATTATATTAATATACTACACATAATTTATTTCTTGTACATGTTGTTTATTAAACCTGTTTTTAAATATATAAATTGTTTATCTATCTATTTATTTATTTTTAAGTAACAAAAAGAGGCTATTAATTACGCGTGATCAAGGCCTTCCGGACAACGAATAAAAAAAAAATAATTTTTTTTTAAATGAAATTAAAATTCAAAAGTGTCAAACGTTATATACCGGGGGAAAAAATTAGATTTTTCTAAACAGAGATAACATAGTTTGGTGAGAAAAAATTATAAATATTCAAAAAAAATTTCATTTGTACCGTAAAATAGATAAATAATAAATAATAATATAAAAATTCAAAACAATATTCGTTTAGAAACGTATTTTAATGAGAAAAATGTGTTAAATAATATTTAATTCATCAATAGAATTGTATGAGATGACTTTTAAGGATAAATAACCGAAGATCCGTTTTCATAAGGTTTATGTTGAATTAGATTGATGATTAGTAAAGTATTATATAATTGATTATCAAGTTACGGCCATGCCATGCACAGTGGAAAGTGCCGAATTGATGGCCCAGTCAGTACTACGGTTGGGTACAGCGTGGGAATATTGAGTACTGTAACTCTCTTTTTTCTTTACAATTTACGAAGCACCGAAAATTTTGGAAAATTTTTAAAGATTTCAGAAATAAAGATAACGCTTCTGAATTGAATGTAAAATTTGATTTATAACCCACAAATTAAAACATTCGGGACGGGAAATTATCAGAGAAACTTACAATATAAAAATTTTTATCTGTTTTATATCTATTTAATAATAATTTATCAAACTGTTACGTAATCACAAATAATTAAATTCGTCAAAAAAAAAAAATTATAAAAGCATTTTCAGATAAGTAGTTTTTTAATATAATAGTATTTTTCCTTCACTAGTTATAATATAGCGAAAAAATATCATCAAAAATTACATATTCAATAAAAAACCAATAAAATAAAAGTCGATATACCGAACACGTGGTTCAATAACAAAAGTTCGGTATATAATAAAAGTTCGGTATGTAAATTTTTTTATATGCCGAACTCCATTGTAAATAGATGGATCACGTGATTAAGAATATTAATTTCGGTCAGAATTAAGATTTTAAATCATCCACCAAGATCAGCGTACCAGTAATTAAATTATGGGATTATAAATGGTAAAACAGTAAACATTATATTTGAGCTTTATATAATATTAGGGATATCAAGATTTTTTAAACACTATGAAATTGGTTTTAAGGTAAGAGAGTTCGGTTCGTTATACAGTATCGTAATGAAAAAAAATCAATAATCATTTTCCCCGTATAACGTTATGCCTCGTATCAGATGACGATTAGCTGGCTAATATATAATGCTTTTAGTTAGTCTGCATTAGTCATCCGGTAACGGCACAACGAATTTTGATATTTTAAATTTTACAGTTCACAGTACAGCTTATATTTACCGTCAAGTTCAATGTATCTCTCACTATTGTGAATATGTATAACTTTTAAAAGTGTCATTCAACGAAGTTGCTATAAAAGCAAAAATAATAAATTTTGAAAGATATTTTTTAAGAAAAATTTGAGAGATACTTTTAAACACATTTTAAACACATTTTAAACACATTATGACTAATAAAAAAATTCATGTAAATAATAAAAAAAAGTGCATAAATAAATGTTGATAACTTTTGATACAATAGCACATCATACATATATTTAATTCTTTTACGAAATTTTTTTTTTTTTTTTTCGTAAGAACATAATTTTAACCAATTTAATAAAATTTAATAAAATGAATTCATAAGGACTTTTTTTAGCAAGGGGGAAATAATGTTACACACGCACAAATATGATTAAAAAACGGGTTAAAAAAATTTTTTATCCTTATACAAATCAAGTAATCTATATCAATTTCCATTTTTTATTTTCTTTTTTAATTTATAATTTATGCATGTAATAATTATAAAATAAACCAAATGACCGGTCGATAATAGAAATCCAAGAATAAAAAATAAATTAAATAAAAATGCACGTACATATTAAATTTCCTAAATTAATAATAATTTCTCAAAAAAAAAAAAAAAAAANAATGAATTCATAAGGACTTTTTTTAGCAAGGGGGAAATAATGTTACACACGCACAAATATGATTAAAAAACGGGTTAAAAAAATTTTTTATCCTTAAAAAAAAAAAAAAAAAAATGATATTGTGGTTCTTTTATTATTAATTAAAGGATTTTGTTATTTTATTTTATTTTTTATTTCTCAAAAATGAACAAAGTTTACAGTAAAAGTTACAAAGAAACTATATAGTAGAACATACTAGAACCCAAAAAAACTGATAACCAAGCCGACAAGGATTTTGTCAAAAAATAAAATACTTTGAAACTTGAATACCCGATCCAATGAAAATTTCACGTGATTAAATCTGTTTTTGGAAATTCATTTTGTGCACTATGAAAATTTCGTAACAGGTGAGACAAAATTAAAAAAAATGTTTGTTACAATAAAACTGAATGAACCATTACAAAAAAAAAAAAAATATTACTTGACAGAAAAAAATTTTTTCCATAAATCTGATAATCAGATCTCATAATATAAATATATTCTTTGAGGGTATAATCCGATCATATGGGAACCTAATATTTTTTTTTCAAACAAGTTTAATGGTGAGACTTTTCTTTTAAGGTAATATTAAAATTATAATTTTAAATCTTGTGAATAATAAGAAAAGCATGCAAAATAAATATTTTACATCATGAAAACTTTAAATTATAAAGAACTTAAATATGTAAATATCAAACATCTTATTAATATATACAGTATATAGAGAGATACATATAATAATATAGTATACTGTATATGTAGAGTATATATAAATTATCATCACTTTTGATATCATATATATATATTACATGAATGAATATATAAACCGAAAAAAAAAATTAAATATCATTTGTATAGAAAACATAGGAAACAAAAAAGCCGAAATTCAAAAATAATAATTATATGTAACATTTTTGGCGTACCAAACTTAAAATCCTGTTTCTTTTTCCAATAAAATGTTTGGTACTTGTGCCAATCGTAATTATTATTAATAATTGTAACCCGGTCGCTGATCCCAATAAGATTTTTTTTTTTAATAACTAGATATATGCTGTATAACCAATAAATTGAATGAATACTTTTTAGTTCACAAAGAACCTAAACGAAAATTCCTTGTATTCAATGAAACATTAGAATATTTATATTTATTTGTGTTATTTTAACTTAAACTAGGAATGAAAAAAATTTTAGCACGTTTGTCGTGATACAATTTAGCGACGATCATTTTTACGCAGTATAAAAAAAAACGCCCATGAAAATTTAAAATTTGGATTGAACCAATTAAATAAGGTTAAAATTTTTTTTTTAATAATTATAATTTGAAATAAAGTTATCCTTAATTACATTTTTTGTAACCCACACGAATAATTTTATATGAACTTAAAAATGAGGACGATCACAATTATCTAATTTGATAATTATAAAAAATTCTATTATTCTTATTATTCTCTTTTTTTTTTTTATTATTCTTCTTTATAATAAATAATAATAATAATAATTTTTTACTTCGAAAAAAAGAATAATAGTGTAATCAAAATTTTGATATTTTTGTACGAGATGAAATTTGATCGACAGAATAAAGTTTCATAATTTTGGAAAAAAAAAATATATTAAATACCGTGAAACGTCACATAAAAAAGTATATTCATAATGCATTATCGGTCCGAACGGATTAACGGGAAAGTTAGCGATAACCGATTAAAATGATTGTATAACAAAAATTATAATTTCAATAAAGTACACAACATGATTCTTATCCAAATATAAAAAAGAACTCGGAAAAAAAAAACAATAACAAATAAGTGACATGAGACGATTAGTAAACAATATTAACGAATTTTTTTTTATTTTAAACGCCATATTTTTTTATCAACAAAACAAAAAAGAAAAACTTTCTTTTTTTTTTTGATTAAATTTATTGAGTACAATATTTATAATATTTATTTATTTATTAAAAGATGAAATCATTTAAAAAGATATTTAATTCTAATAACGAAGATGAAAATAATTCAACGATGGAAAAACGAAATTTATGGAAGAGTCCTAATATTAATTATCAGGTAAAAAAAATTAAATTTATTAATTATCGACTTTGTATAATTAACATGTAATTAATTAATATTATAATTAATATTATAATACAGTACCACGTTTCATCTAAATCAGATAATATCTCCGAGTCACATAGAGAACCCGTTTTTATAAATGACTTAAAGAAAAGAAAAGAAGTATATGGAATATGTGGAGAATGTAATAAACCAGGTACTGGAAGAAATTGGTGTCAACCTTGTAATGCTAATAGATTTACGGAAAACTTTGGAAATTGGACCAGTGGAAATAAAGATATTGACGAATTAATACAACAATCACAACTTAATGCTGTATATTATACAAAATGTTTGGAATGGATTCCTTTTGAAAAATTTGAAAATGTTACTTATGTAACCAGAGGTGGTTTTAGTAAAATTTATTCGGCCGATTGGTCCGAAGGTTATATTCATTATTGGGATATTGAAAATCAAAGATGGGATAGATTTTCAAATACAAAAGTTGCTTTAAAAAGTTTAGATAACTCTTCTGAAATAAGTACCGACTTTTTAAATGAGGTAATTAACATAAATGAATTTTATATGGTAAATTATTAATTTTTTTTTTTTTATTTTTTTTTTTTTACTAATATTAATTATTCATTTAGTAAAAAATAAAAAATTAATTTTTATTATTATAATTATTATTATTATTATATATTATTATTACTTTATTAATAAATTTTTATTTTTTTATTTTTATTTTTAGATAAAATCTTATATTTCGGATGATTTTTCGCACGTTATTCCATGTTTTGGAATAACTCAAGATCCTAGTACTAAAGATTATATGATCGTTTTATTTTATTGTCAATCCGGAAATTTAAGAAATTGTTTAAATAAATCTGTAGAATATACTTCAAAAATTGAAATTTTGTCAAACATGGCAAATGGGCTTTCAAATATTCATAATTCTGGAAAAGTTCATAAAGATTTTCATTCCGGTAATATATTATTCGCTAATATTTATAACGTATTTATTAGTGATTTAGGAATGTGTCAACCAGCAAATAATGAAATTAAATTACCTAAAAAAGGTATTTATGGAGTATTACCTTATATGGCACCAGAAATTTTACGTGGTGGTCAATATGAAAAATCAGCTGATATTTATTCATTTGGAATAATAATGAATGAATATATATCAGAAGAAATTCCTTATAATGATATACCTCATGATAATAATTTGGCTATTAAAATATGTGAAGGACTTAGACCAAAAATTTCTGATGATACTCCAAAATTAATTTCTGAATTAATCGTTGAATGTTGGGATGCTAAACCAGAAAATAGACCAACTGCTAAAAAAATATGTAAAAAATTACAAGGATGGAGAGATGAAGCTATGGATAGGACCGGTGATATTTATACTCAAATAAAAGAATGTGAAAAAATTAGGGATAATAAAACTGTCCCTGAAAATATTCAAATACATCCTCAAGCAATTTATACTAGTAGACTTTTAAGTTTCGAAAATCTTCCTGAACCAGTAAATTCAAATGAATAATTTTTAGCAGGTGATTTTTTTTTTACTTTCATTTAATAAATACGTAAAATATTAAATATAAATTTATTACTTGTAGATCTTCCGATTCTTCCGTCGAGGATGGATTTTTAAATTTTTAATATATATAAATTCTTATTTCATTTTTTATACTTACGGTATCTATAAAAAAAAAATTATTTAATTATCATAACATGTAATAGTTTTTAAAAAAAAAAAAAAAAAAAAAAATCTTATTTTATATCTAGGATATTGCCGTCGATCACAAACGTTGTTTTTTAAATCACATGTAATGATCGATGGTGTTAAATTACGTATCAAAATTCAAAAGTCGTAAAACAAATAAATATCTCCTTTATAATAATAATAATTAATCCTTGATTTATTATACGTAACAATGCATACATATTGACGGTTTTACACGATCACATCATATATTTTTATTTCGATCAGAGTTCATTTTTAAGTGATTAAAGTAATAGTCGATTAAAATTGGAACCATATAAAGAAATTTTTATCGATTATTTGTTTATACTTTTAAGTAAAATTTTTATATGTTAAATAAATAACCATAATTTTTATTTATATTGATTATTATAAATAGAGTTTTTGAATAAAAAAATAACTGGTTAAATTAAATATCTTCGATTACGAAAGCTGGTGATCTTAATTTCAGCCAAAAACTAATATCATTTCGAGTCGGTTTAATTAGCCGGTTATCTCAAACTGTCTAAACTGTCTAAACTGTCTAAACTTATTTAATTTTATAAATTTTATATCATTTCTTATTGGTTAAACAAACCGATTTTAATTCCGATTGACCGAAATTAATATAATTTCGGTCCGAATTAATAAGTTTGACCGGTTTAATGACTTTAATATCGGCCATGCGAGAAATGTATGTTCGCGTGAATTATATTTTATATTTTAATAAAGAAAAGGAAATATTAGTATATTATAAAAATTTATATATACAAAGACGTTAAAAAATTCTATATTAAAACTTTTTTTTATTAATTATAGCGCTATGTGACGGCGAAGGTACATTTGTACATTTGTTCTGAAAATAATTAAAGCGCTATGTGATGGCGAAGGTACATTTGTACATTTGTTCTGAAATAATATATTTAATTAAAGCGCTTCGTGATATGTGATGGCGAAGTACATTTGATTTGTCGTTCAATGTAAGTAAAATTAATTTTTTAAAATTATTTTTCATAAATTAAACCAATTTAAACTTTAAAGTATTTAAATGATTTTTTATTTTCTGTGCTACGCAAAAGTAAAGAAAAAAGATTTTTTTATTTCTATGCTGCGCAAAAGTAAAGAAAAAAGATTTTTTTATTTTCTATGCTGCGCAAAAGTAGAGTAAAAAGATTTTTTTATTTTTTATGCCTGTGCAAAAGTAAAGTAAAAAGATTTTTTTATTTTCTATGCTGCGCAAAGTAAAGTAAAAAGATTTTTTTATTTTCTATGCTGCGCAAAGTAAAGTAAAAGGATTTTTTTATTTTCTATGCTACGCAAAAGTAAAGTAAAAGGACTTTTTTATTTTTTATGCTGCGCAAAGTAAAGTAAAAGGATTTTTTATTTTCTATGCTACGCAAAAGTAAAGTAAAAGGACTTTTTTATTTTTTATGCTGCGCAAAGTAAAGTAAAAGGATTTTTTTTCTATGCTGCGCAAAATATGGCGTATCATTTAAAAAATTTCATTTCACAAAATAAAATGCAATAACGTACAATACCTGAAATATAAGGCAATTTAACGAATATTCTTTAATTTATGCCACAGTTTATAATAGTCAATTTTTATTTTATTTTATTTTACTTTTATCACATTCAAGAAATTTTATTCATTTTAAACATTCTTATTCGAGAAAATATTTTTTTTTCCTTGTTTTATAATTCGGCCGAATAATAAAAAGGGAGCAGTAACTTCTATTAAGAAACAACTTTAAATACAATCACCATAATAGTTAAATTTATAAAACTTGCCCTTTGTTACATTTGTTACAAAAAGACAAGGGGGTTTTTTAAATAACGTCACGCCACTTCAAATGACGTCACTTCAACTGACGTAACTTCAAATAACATCACTTCAAACAACGTCACTTCGAATAACGTGATTTCACGTGACTTTATGATCTGTTTGTATTTGTATTTCAAACCTTTGGTCATATCTTTGGTGCTTCATATGTCAAACTATAACGTTTTAAAAATATAAATTTGGTTAACTGTATAAAAATTGTTGGTATTGTCATTACTTTTTCGGTTTTTCTTTACGTTACACCCAAAAAAATCAATGAAACGTACCGTGTACTATTTATAAAAGAAAGGATTTGATATTCTTTGATATTGTTATCATGATTTATAAATCACTTTTTTTTTAATAACCGAACAAAATTCATTTCAAATACTTTCTTGGAAATAATAAATTTCTAATTTGAGTCGATTTTAAAACAATAATATTAATTTTGTTACTTTATAGAATTATCTTTTTTGTACGATAAATTTAAAAATATATCAATGATGATTTTGAAAATATGTTAAAAGCGATGTGTAACATAAAGAAGTTATTTAAACACACTTTCAACTTGCTCGAATTTTTTTTTTTTTTTTTTTTTTNTTTTTTTTTTTTTTTTTTTTTTCATAAATATACTACACTATCTATTTACTTGATAAAAATTCTTTTTATAAGCAATGGATAAATGCTACGTATGCAAAAAACTTACTAAAACCCACTGTGCAAAATGCCGAAAAACTCATTATTGCTCTAAAGAATGTCAAAAAAAAGACTGGAAAGAGCATAAAAAGTCATGTAATAATAAATTACCAGTCGTTAAAATTAACGAAATTATCGATGAATCCGATGATAAAATTATTGATGAATCCGATGATGAAGAAATTACCGAATTTATCCGTGAATCTGATGATGATGATGAGGAGGATGATGATGATTTCACAGAATTATTATTTAATCTTATGTTACTTAAGCATCCCGAATTATTAATTAATCATATGTACCGTAAGCATTTAGAAGGTTCGAAAGTACCTGATTTTGGAAAAGAATATGCCACGAAATATCCAAATGAAACGAAACGATTACAACTTCTTAACCGTTCTAGATCATTAATAATAGAAAATCAAGATGTCGATAAATATTTAAATCTTAATGTTAACGGAGGACTTTTTCACACTTTGAAAAGATGGAATGAATATTCAAAAGAACTTATAAAATTTATTTCGTCTCCAAGAAAAATTGGTGACATTTTCACTGAAAAAGTAAAAAAATCATTTGATGAATTCGAAGGCAAATATGCTCAAAGTTTTAGTAATACTCCAAAACAAAGTATGACGTTTGATCAAGGAAAAGTTCATGTTGCTGTAGGTTTTGTAGATTTGGATTTTCTTTTACGAGCTAGAATTGAGAAAACTATGAATTCTGTAAATGAACCAAATAAATTTATTGGTTATGAAGGATCGATTTATGCGGTAGCAAAAACCAATGTTATTAAAGAAATGATGATAGGAAAAGCACCAATTCGATCGATCATTGAAGTTTGGTTTTCTAGTGTATGGACAAAGAAGACTTTAAAATATTTTGAGGATGCTGTCAATAAAGTCTTGAAATATAAAGATGCGCCAAATAATGGTCCTCCTAACCCCACGAAAAATGAGCTTCACCCAAAAGTTAGATCATTAATTTCTCACTGGAGTAAATCTGTTAAATCACCGAAATCTCGACAAGAAGCACATAAACTTTGGGCAGAAGCCTTTGATTCTGGAGATAGTATATTTTACCTTGTTACCAATCTTGTCGAACCACGAGATCGTATACAAGCTACACGTCATATCCTTACTGGCGAGTTTCCTCTCATGGATGATCAACAACAAAAAAATCTAATTGCAAGTATTACAATGTTTAATTGCAATAACGGAATTTCTCCACATTCAACAAGTGAATTTATGTTTGAAATGATGCCATCGGATCCCATTCTAGCTGGAAATAATCGGAAAATCACTCCCTTCCTGAAAGCGATATATAATTTTCTTGAAGACTCAATCACAAAAATTTGCAATTGGCTATCTCCACCTGCAAGAAAAACTGAATCGATTGAAATTTATCTGCATTATCAATCCGTTAATAATGATAATCCTGCATTACATGCTTCGATTCGTCAATTGGACCCATGGACAATGTCTTGGAGCAATATTTGCGATTTCTTTAATGTACATGATTTTCACAAGTTACTTCGAGCATGTTCAGGCGAGGATACAGTTCACTTGGTAATTTCGAAGAATTGGATTACAGAAACCTATGGCGCACATATTATGGATTATAATGTCGAACTTCGTCGTAAGATTTATGCCAAAGGACAAAATATCATTTCGATGAGTAAAATTATTTCAGACATGGCTGGGTATTTCCGATATGATAAAATTACCACGCATCCGTATAATATTGCAGATATAGGTGCGAAAATTTTGGTGGAGGATAAATGGAAAAATCATTTTTTTAAAGGGCAGGATATGAAAGTTGGAAAACTTTCACTCGTTCCGTTTTCCCATACACATAAAATTCATACGTACTTGGATATGTATTTTACATATAATAAAAAAATTAACGCTTATACTAATTATTGTTAATTAATTTCATATACTATAACTACTCATTTTGGTTGTATTTTTACCATACAATATATACATATATATATATCATATTCATAGTATTTATTTTATTTATCATGTATTTCATATATTTTAACATAAGTTTTATCACGAATATTAATTAAACTGTATAAATAAATTTATTATTATATTTTATATTTTTTTTTTTTCTCGTTAAAAATAATATTTCCTTGTCAAATTTTATTTGTCTTAAAAAGTATTTTTCCCGAATTACGGTATATTGAATACAGTAATTTGTTATGATAAATTGTGTATCTGAGCTAACCGATTATAGTTGAGTATTTTTTAGTTTATTGTCCGAAGCGGAGTGGAGGACTTTTTTTTATCTTTATTTTTATGACGCAGAAAAACAAAGTTATAGTACAAATTATAAGGACAAAAAATACATTAAGCCGACAACACTATCAACCAAATCGCAAACCCGGCGAACCCGAGTAGACGATGATTTAGGAGTGGAGGATTACATTCTACAATGTTCGTCTGTCCCACACGTGACTTACATACACGTGATATATACATACTATTTAAGCTTAATACTTTTTATACAATTTCGAGAATTAAGCTTTATTAAACTTTAGTTTAACCTTCAAGATGTATATAATAAATTTAGTTGTTTTTTAATTATTTCTTCATGTAATTTAAGATCCATTAATAATAAACAAAAAAATATAATAAATGAATAAATATATCTTGATATCTTGTGTAATTTATTTTCGTTATTAAAATCTTAAAATAATAAATTAAAATATCGCAGATTTCGGATAACCTGAAAATATTTCATGAACTAACAACTTGTTCGAAACTCTTAGTGCTACGAATTTGATCGTAGTGTTGATAATCTCAATTTTTTACAAAAATTGAAGTTTTACTTTTTATCTTTTTATCTCGGAATTGAGTAATTATTTAATCCGGATCGAAACGCTATTTACTATAACCAACTTAGCATATTAACGGTATCTTGACCGATTAACCGCCTTAATCGGTTAATTAATCGATCGGTGTATTTAAAGTTTCTGATATTTATTAATGTTTATTAGAAAATAATTCATCCATTACTATTTATCCGATAAATAAACTGAAGAAATAAATTCTGTGAATACGATAAAATGATATATTTATATAAATTAATAAAATTTATTACCAATAAATGAAAAAATATACTTATACTAAAAATCAAATTAATTATATTATAAAATAAAAAGTAATTATTTGTAAATCTGAAAAATTTCATATTCTTCTATAGAAAAATGATCTTCAGTTTTTCTGATCTGCTTTTCATAAGAAATTTTTTTACAATGACTAGTACGATCATTAAAAGAACGTTTAGAACCACCATAAATTTGAAGATCCTCTTGACCAAATGATGGACCATGTATAAAATTATTATCTATAGCGTACTTTTTATTTTTAACACGACTTAATATATGATTTTTAATATCTTTCATATTATTATTATTAAAAGAAAATATAAAACTATCTTTAGTTTCACTATATATATTATATATTTTAAATTGCCACATAATTGGATTATAACCTCCAAGAATTTCATTACTATCTTTTAATTTAATAATTGATATAGTATTAGATTGATTATCACAAAATTCATGAAATTTTTCAGGTGTAAAACCATCACGAGATCCACGAAGAATTAATTTGAATTCATATAAATTTTTTAATTCATCAGTAATTTCTAATTTATCAATCCATTTTGAGATTAATTCAACATGTTGATTGGTAATAATTTTTGAATCAATACTTTTCTTCTTATTGTTATTATTATTATTAGAATCGATTTTTTTGATCGTTTTGATTGTCTGTTGTTGTTCTGATTTTTTATTTGATTTACTATGATCATGATCCAAAAAGTATTTAATTAAATTATCTTGTAAATCTTCAGGAATAATCTTTCTATATGGAAACACCTTACTTACGAATTCTTTAGAAGTAAAATCAGTAAATTTAATAAAAGGAATAAATTGTTGTAAAGTATTTTTTAAAGTAATAAAATCATCATTTGAATAATTTGAAGGATCTGAAGATAATCCAGGATTCTGAGCAATACCCCATTTAAGTACATTTTCCCAGATTTGAACTTCATTAATTTTACGATCATCAAGTTGAATAAGAGAGATTAATATTTTTTCTGAAATTGAAGTGAAATCAGGTGAATTAAAAATTTTTTCTGGTTGTTTAGAAATTAATTTTGTACAAAATTTTTGAAGATCCAAAAAAGAATCATTTTCGAAACTAGTTTGATATATTAAATTAAAATTTTGTTCTAAATATGATGTTTTATTTCTAATTAAAAATAATTGTAAATAAGGAATAAGGTCTTGAAGATTTAATTCATTAGCAGCAACCAAAATTTTAATAATATCTAAAATATCATATTCTTTCAAAACAAGTTTTCCACCATAAATATACCTAAAAAAAAAAAAAATAAAAATTAATTATAAAAAGAAAATAAAAAAAAATAATCTTAAATAACTTGTTTATTAAAAAAAATGAGTTTTTAATACCTTAAAATTATTTGAAAAATTTCGGGTAAAATATTTGGTAATTTTATATGAGTTAAAGTTCCATCATTTTTCTTTTTATTAGTTGATAAAATTCTTCTCAAATAAGGAGAACGATAATTTAATATAACCATATGAGCACGAAATACTTTTACGTAAGGATCGTTACCAACTTCAATTG